AATACCCACCATCAGGCTGACCCATCCCCCCACCCCCTCCCCTCCAGAACCCTGTTTGTTTCTCAGAGTCCACCGCCTCTCGTGGTTCGTCTCCCCCTCCGATTTCTCCGAGCACTCACTACATGCTAGGCACTGCGCCAGTCGCGCCATAAATGCTGTCATGTGGGATCCCCGAAACAGTCCTGGGCAGATGAGTCACCCCATTCGTTCCTGATGAGGAAACTGGGACTTAGAGTAAGTTCTCGGTCAGAAGTCACAAAGCAGGGCCTTCTGGAGCCGCTGCTCCTTACCATTCACTGTTCTCCCTCCTTTTCCTGCTTTTCAAGCATGGAAGATAACAGCAAAAACAGCCTATACCATCCTGACAAAGTTCTTGACCTCCCTCTGTCCGTGTCCCTGTGTGTAGGTTGGAAATAACAGCTTTCAGAGTTATGAGTATCCTTCTCCCTCCACCTTCCCCTCATCTGTGTCCCTTCATCTAAACATCTACACCTGGTCCCTTGTTTGGCCCAAGTGTCCCTCTCTTAATCTTTTCTCTTTCACTCTCGCAGTAAAAAGGATGTGCTTGGATCCTAGCTCACAAAATTGTGAATAAAACTGTTTACTAACAACTATTAGGGAAAGACCATACTATTACTACCCTTAGGAGTCAATTCCTTATATTTCTAAGTATGTTCATCATTCTTATGTTAGGCCCCTGCCTGTGATATTTAGCTTTCCTGGTTTGTAGTACATAGGTGACTTCAACAACTCATAAAGCCAAGGTGAGGTTTTGATGTGGTGACCTCTTGGTCCTAAAGATTCTGTAATGTAGGTAGCCCCTGCGATTAAAAAAAAAAATAAGTCAGAGGGGCGCCTGGGTGGCTCAGTCAGTTAAGCATCCGACTCTTGATTTCAGCTCAGGTCATGATCTCAAGGTCATGCAATCAAGTCCAGCATCAGGGCTCCCTGTTCAGGAGGGAGTCTGCTTCGCCGTCTCCCTCTCTTCCTCCCCCTGCTCTCACTCACTCGCACGCTCTAAAATAAATAAATAAATAAATCTTAAAAAAAAATAATAATAAGTCAGAGGAGCCCCTGGCTGGCTCAGTAGGTAGAGCATGCAGCTCTTGATATCCGGGTTGTGAGTTTGAACTCTACGTTGGGTGTAGAGATTACTTAGAAAAAAAAAAAAAAAAAAGAGTCAGAGAGCCTAAAAGGAATAAAGTGGATTCCACCATAAATGACAAACTTTTCCATAGAAAATGCATCAGATAAATTTCCTGCAGCCACCTCATTTGCCTAAAATAGCAAGAACTCAGAAATGAGTTAGCTGTTAGCTGAAGGCCACAAACGAAAACCCGTGGTATAACACATACCCCATGTTGCTGTTGCTGCCCGTGGTTACCAGAAGGATGGTGACCACAGTGCCTTCCTGCTGGATGATGGCTAGAGGGGGAGGGAAAAGAAGGGATCTGTGAAGGAAGAAAAATAGCAACTGGTTGGAAATGTCTTCATGCTAAAAAATGACATTCTAGAGCAATTAGGAATTGTCAGATTGATTTTACTGCCAGAATTATTTTTTTTTCAAGACTTTATTTTTAAGTAATCTCTACACCCAACGTGGGCCTCGAACTCACAACCCCAAGATCAAGGGTTGCATGCTCTACCAGTTGAGCCAGCCAGGAACCCCACTGCCAGGGTTATTTTAGGAAACTTGGAGAATGAGATTGATGTAAAATTTCAAAAAAGTTAGCTAGTCTTATCTACATTTTCAAAGAGGAAGAAATTGTGATTTCTGTGTATTCAAGCAATATCAGATTCATTTTAGTTCCAAAATACCATGTTATTTTATACCTCCCAATCTTTGCATGTGCTGTTCCCTTGCCAAGAAGCTGATACCCTCCTATAGATGGGGCAGTCCAATTCCTAGTTTTCAAAACTCAACTCAGGTGCAATTACCTTTTCTTTTCTGAGATAAAATTAATTCCTACCCTACTATCTGAGCACTTTATGCTTCTATCGTTACATTTATTACATTGTATTGTGATGTGTTTGTTCATCCCGTGTGTTTGTTTCCCCTACTAGATTGAGTGCCTTGAAGGAGAGGCCTCCTTTTTAGTCTTAACTGAAACCCAACACCTAGCACAGACCCAGGAACACAGTAGCACCTGATAAAGATTTGTCCAATGGGTGATTGAAGGGTCCAGAGAATGAACTGAGGAATGAATGAATGAATGAATGAATGAGTGAATGAATGGGCGAAAGGATGGCTGAGTAGTGGGTGGTAAAGAGATGACTGACCCCTGGGTAGTTAAATACAAATATGACACATAAGAACATAGAATTATATACATTACACTTCCCAAACGAGTCATGTCCAAAGTCACAGTGGTTTACTTCCTCACCATAGTTAGAACGATGCAGTCTTGTAAATTGATCATCCCCCATTTTTTTCAATGTCCACTGAGCACTACTATGAAGTTGCACTCTACATAAAGGGAAACTGCCTCAGAGAAACTGTAACTTCTAAGCATTGTGTCCAGATTAGCATTTATAATCACTTATTTCTCATGTTTACTTATGTTCAAAACTAAAACATTTTGGTTAAAACAGTCTTTTTTTAGTAGAAATAGTATATCACAGGGCGCCTGGGTGGCTCAGTCGTTAAGCGTCTGCCTTCGGCTCAGGTCATGATCCCAGGGTCC